TTTCCAAAGATGTAAAATTGTTACTTACTGCTTGAATTCATTTCGGGAATGTCATTCAAATGTGGCGACATTTTCTCTGTCAGTCCATTCCACGTAAATTCAATGCCATGCGTTGTGCAACGCTGTTATAAAAGTTCAACAAACGTCTCAATAATTTTGCAATTACAGTTGTTCGCATGTTTTTTTTTGTCATGAAATTCTTTGCGTAGCAAATGCCCATCATTAGAACTCAGCAGAGAAGAAAGACCGTTTAATTTTATTAAAAAAGGGGATGGGCATCTAAGAAAGTTATTGTGCTCCGTTGTTGGGAGGTATTACAAACTTAATTTTATCTAATAAGTTGATAATCGAAATTGGCCACCGTAAAGATTTTCAAAAGCTGGCGTTTCGAGCATCAAGTGGCTGATTTATTAGCTAGCTGTTGGACTGACTGACTGACTGGCTAGCTGATTGACTGAACGAGGCTTACTCACTCATAAACTGGGTGTATTTAATTGACTGACAAGATGGATAACAGATGAACCTACACTAACTTGCCTTCGATGAAATATACCTGTCCTGTGTCAGTGGGAATAAATGTGAAATCACAGATAGAATCTCTTACGGAACCACGCTTGCATATCCAGTATCTTAAGAGACTTCCTGGATATAACCATTGGTACATTAGAAAAGCGGTCAACGCGAGTGTAGTTAGAAGGCCAAATACAGTCAAGCACCGCACTGTGGAAGGAAAAAAAACACTAATAAACAAAGTTGAAAAAAAAATGAATAAAAAATAAATCCTTCACTTTATTGTTTGACCGACTTAGCTATTAGTAGTACTAACAATGCGCACAAAGCAGCTCTTGGTTATCCCTCACCTTTTAAAGGGAGTTATCAGTCTCAGTATTGAAAGTCAGTCTATCTGTCAGTCAGTCCGTAAGTCGATCAGTTAGATAGGCTGGCAGACTGTCTACCAATCAGTAAGCCAGCTCTCATCCAGTTTTCAGTCAGTCAGACTGTCGACAGTCAGTGAACCCTATCGGTCATTTAGTCAGTCAGTCAATCGGGTAGGCCAGCGCTAGCTGGCTGGGAGGAAGGCAAGAAGCCCGCAGCCAATTGGTCAGTCAGTCAATCAGTTACTCAGGTTTGTAGGACATCAGTGAACTAGTCAGTCAGTCCCATCGTTTGTCTGGGAATTTTTAAAAGTAGTGTGTCTGTTGATGATATTATACTGATGCCACATCAACTGTATCGCGGATTGCGCCTTGATAGAGTGAGGATCGGAACTGAAGTCGCAGAGTTTAAACAAGAGACCTTTAGTAATCGCGACATTTAAAGTATCTTGTACTTACTTCGCCTCGCCTTTTTTCGCTCTCTTCGCAGCTTTGCAGCCAGTTCCACATCGAATCGATTGTACATGTTCCCTATTTCTGACTTGATTTCATTATCGCTTACCCCAAGAACCATGCATACAAAACACTGAACCAGGTTGTAGTCATCGAGCTTTGATGCCTCCCTCTCTTCCAATGACATGCCCAGTAGAACACTACCGCCACCTAAGATCACGCGCGGAGGCAGATGTGATTCTGGGATAGCAGTACCAGGATGATCTGGGCTCACATTAGTATAAATTCGTTCTCCGGCTCGCACAGAACCCATGCACTTTACTTTGATAACTCCGATAACGCAAATAACATCAGTGGGATCTAGAACAGAAGAGTTACACGAAGAAAAAAGAAATAAACAAAGAAAGTGGGCGCAATCCAAACTTAGAAACGAACTTTAAGAATACAATGGCATGGAATTTCTTGAACATTATTGTATTTGAATACGCCTTTCGTTTGGGTAACGCAGGGGAAGGCGGCATTTTCTGGGTTACATATGCGTACAACCAGGAACTGAGAGAAAACAGGTCTGTTTTGATATATTTGGCAGTCTGGTACCTTCACTGTTTTTTAATGTCGCCAAGTCGAAAGAACTTCCGAATCACTCTTAACGCCAAGTTCATTACTCTAATTGGATGGGCAAATGTATTATCATTAAAGTAATAACAAATAAAACAAACCGTTTTGACTTATGGCTGGTGTGGCCTCAAGGTAAGCTGACCTGCTAATGACTCCTGCCATGAAAGCTTGTTTTCCATTTTGGCTGTTTAAAAGCTGTACGCATGCTGTCCCATCGTCACTTTTGAAGAACCCGAGTACGTCACCTTCGTCAAATTCTTTGTACAAATCAGGATCCTTGACCTTAAAGTGATATCCAATATCGGCTCTTCCTTCATTTACTTTCAAGTTGCCATATTCTAAACTTCCAATGAAAGCACTTTTCGCTTCCAAGTGTTCACGTACGTTTAGGTTTTGAAAGGAACCATCTACTGAAGTCAGCAACAAAGAGACTCAGTATTTCATGGATTTACAATTAGGTTGAACTTGTCTGCGCACGCTTTAGCGCATTATAGTACGGAAAGGAATTTGTAATTACGAAATCTCATTTTTTTTCGTGATTCGTTGGCAAGGTAATTGGAATGAAATGAATTAAAGACAAAATACTTTATGGTAATTTAGTGTGAGTGGTTTGACCTAACTGAAAATGAAAAAAATGTAACTGAATGTTAAAAAGTAACAGGTAAAACCAAACTCACATTTCGTTGGGGTTGAGCTTTCTGTGCAGCATTCTTCTGAAGAAGAATCTGTTAAGTTGGAAAAGCGATGGGTGTAAAGAATCTTTATTTACTTCAGTACTTTCTGTCTGCAATTTTTAATAACACTTTGTTTTCAGTTTTGAATGAAACATAGAGATGCACAGTTTCGTCGCGGTGAGTGTAAAACCGAAAAGACAATGAAGAAAAAAACACAAAATCAAGTGTTAAGCATCCAAACGAGCCTGGATCAATGTTTTGCTGGCCTCTCGAGATCCCCATCATAGACGTTTTTTTGACTAGTTATTGTCACATTTGGTAATACGGTAACAACCTTTTTTTAGCACAGATCTTCCCATTTTCAAATTCCTACCTACTTATTAACTCATCCCCCAAATACCAAAAAAGTGCAACCTCAGTCTAGTAACTCTAGTCTATCCTGCCAGTTGTGAAAATGCGACCCCATCCGGCGGCATATCCCCATCAGCTTATTAGTAAAACGTATCCCCCCGTTTCTGTGAACGATGAAAGGTAAAGTACAAGTAAAATCGAATCATTTTCCTTGAGACTATAACCTTTCATCACGCTATGACTTGGGTCTTGTTTATCACAAGGAGGAGAAGGAAAGTCTCGGGGAAATTTTCGGTTCGTGCTTGTGGGATTGACCTTCTTAAAGTAATCAAAAAAAAAAAAAAAAAAAAAGATAAGTGTCTGCTTATTACGTGGATTTCACTAACCTTCGGGGCATTTTCTCTTCCCGGGTTGGACGGGCTTGGGTTGACTCCTTATCAAGAATGGTTCACTACAAAACTCACGAGTGGTTCCGGAGAGTGCGGGTAGCTTCACCACAAGCTGGAAAAGGTTTGCCTTTTTCGTGTCTCCTTTTTTCAACTGATACAAAGGAGTTTTTGGGCCATAATATTTACTATCCAGATCAACTGAGAATAATTTCTGTAAAAATCACACAATAGAAGTGTAAATGTCCCCAATTACACTGAGTCTAACCGGCGTATGTGTGAGGATTCTTTGTTTTTGCCGTGAACAACTAACTGCTTGTGTATACAGCAAGTAGAATTTCAATTTACTAAGATCTAGTTGTAAAGTAGTAGTTTTAACTTCGCAATTAACTATGTATGAAAAGACTTCATCTATGTATACAGCACCTCATCAAAACATAAGATTCGCCACAGTTGTGCCCATCGTAAGCGCAATGCGAGAATTTCGAGCCCCTTCAGGAGAACCCGGTTCAACATGGAAAAGTCCTTTAATTCCTTTATAAAATATTTCTCAATCACCCGCGATCCTTACATATCACAGCCATATTTCTTTTCAGACACATAAACACACCTATGTACTCACAAGAGCGGGGATGATATCGCAGTTATTTTGTGACGCAAACTATAAAAGCGATTCAAAAGAGAAAAAACCAAACCAAAACAAAAAACATATAATGAAAAATCATTCAAAACAACTTCAATAAATGAAACTCATCTTACTCTTTCGCCATTATGTCCCTCCAACTTAACTGGCAAACTCACTCGTCCATTCCTATCTTCGCAAAGTTCAGCGGCTTGTTTTTCTCGCATTACCCAGACATGTATGTTGCTGCTATCGATTTCCACGGGAGACCAAGCCTCTATCTGGATGACACCTTCTACTACCCTCTGTTTTGCTATTCCTCCCTTTCGGGATTCCTTTTTGTTAAACTCTTTCTTTTCTTTCAGAGTGACGAAGCAAACTTCTGGTTCGCTTTGGAAAGCTTCGCATTCAGTGGAATTGAAAAACTCTGCCAACGCCTCAGCGACTAGGAATGGGAAAATATTATAGTGAAAAAAAGATGTATGTTAAGTGGTTTTTTTTTAGGGCATTTCTTTAGAGCACATGTCACGAATTATTGGTAAAAACAACATTTACAGCTTTTATAGATGGGATCAGTTTATGAATGCTAATCAATCATGTAAATTTATTTCCTTTGTCCTTATTTACCGTGCATAAAGGATGTTACTAAAACTGGTAACGAGGAACAGGAACGGGGAACGGGCAACGGGGAACGGGGAACGGGTGTACATCGGCAACCCGCCTGAGAATTTAAAATGGCGGAGTCACAGGAATGGCTCCGACCTGTAATTGGATGATAAGAATAGTAAAAGTTTCTAAGAGTTAATAAGTTGCATCTTAACTCCTTGCATGTGAGTATTGTTTAATCGTGTGTCTCCAAGCGGAACAGGGAAATATCAATGCGACTGAAAACGCCGATGTGTCAAACAAGAGATGGTTACTTACATAACGAAGGAGGGACCTTTCTAGTTCAGCGATATTCCGGAGAGGA